TTAAACCAGTAAACAAAAAAGAAAGATAAGAAAATTAAAACCAACATACAATAAAAAAAAAAAGACTGTTATTTTACAATTTCCAATAATAATAATATATGAATTATATATATGAATTAATTCCAGCTACAAGTCTGGAAAACATTCAAGTACATGGCTCATATAAGTTTGATCATCATCAGCAACATGATCAACAAGCCCATCATTGTGGGTTGATGAGATCAGCAAGGGCGTGTTTGGCTGCAAGACAAATGACGAAGACGACGGCGACCCGATTACTTGAGACTCAAGCAACCTGTCAAAGCTCTTCCAATGCTTCCCTACATACTGATGATGATTATTATTATTACTAAAATCTCCCTGGTCAAGTAGTTCTCGACCAACACTACTATCCTCGAAAATGTTGTTCTCGTTCGCGGTAAAACCCTTGGAGCTGATGGAGGGGCTGTCGAGGTTCGGGAGCTCCACTAAGGGATTTCGAAGCGGATTGAATAAGCTCGTCGTGCCTTGATTATTGAGGAGGTCAAGGTAATTATTGTTTGGTAAAGAACTCGTGGTGGGGCCCGGTAATCTCGAAGGTTGTGTGAAATCCAATCGAGCATAAGAACTCATGTTGTTGTAATTCCAATTAGCTTCGAACCCTTGTTTGTGGTTTGGGGTCGGCTTCTTGAACGCCCGGCAGACGACCCATCCTTCTTCCTGTCACATACAATTAGTACTGTTAAATTAAACGAATTTGGCTTAACTCGGTTCGAACTCGGCTAGTTAAGGCTCGAATTCGACTCAACTCGTTTGATAAGCCAAATGACACTATCATGGGACTTTTCACGTGTTAGTTACTGGCCAAAAAAACCTAGCAAGGGTTTCTTCAATATGCATCCAATCTTCCAAAGCACTTCCATAATTTAAAATTCTTTCACATAATTGCCCCCAAATTTTCTTCTTAATTTATTTATTTATTATTTTATCCCGCTAAAAAAATTTATATCCTTCTTGTCCCTCGATTTTCATCTATTGTGATTTTCGACCTCACAAAGTGCCTTTGCAAAGTTACGGCTGTCGTGTTCCAAATCATTACAGCAGACACAATCATTCTACACACATTCAAAAAAATTAAAAAAATAAATAAAAAATATGATCTTGATTTTAGGCCTAATATGACAATATTCCAAGTTTTAATAATGTATATATATAATTAATGCCAATATTATTAATAAAATTACCTGAGGAGGTTCGTGTTCGGATGTTTGAATCCGATATTCGTGCATGATCCAGTCGGTTTTTCTCCCGTTGGGGGCCCGGCCTCTGTAGAAAACCAATGTCTTTCTCATCCCTATGAGTTTGTCCTTTGAGAGCACGGCTTTGTCCCGGCCCGTTGCCTTCCAGAAGCCCGCGGCCGTGGCCCGATTGGTCCGCGAGCCGGTCGGGTACTTCCTGTCCTTGTGGCTGAAAAAGTACCACTCCTTCTGTTCTTCGTATCCCAGTTTGCACCTATCTGTTAATGAAAGTTAATATTATACCAAAAATATGACATATATATAATTTGATCATCCATAAAAAATTGTTGATTTTAGTAGTAACTAGTGCGTATCCCGTGCGATGCACGGGTAAACAATATTAAATAATAATTATAAATAAGTATAAGTGGGGAACCACTATTGATCATCTGTTAAAAGAGCAAGGTAAAATATTATAAATTAAAGATGAGGGTAACGATATTAAATAATAATTATAAATTAACGATGTGGGGTTAACATGTCATATAATTTACGGTATATCAGTTTATTATAAACTATATAAAATTAGCTTGTTCAAGAGAACATAAAATTTGTATATTTAAACAATTAAAAACTCGTAAAATATTGTATTAACATATGTAAAATTATCTAAAATTTTCTATATTATTATTAAAAGATGTGAAGTCACCTACAACTTTTCTAAACTATTTTGTAAAAAAAAATATATCTAAAAATATTAAAGTTTACATTTGTATGAAAGATGTTTTGTGAATATGACATGATAAAATATTATAAGCTTAAATAAATAGATTATAAAGTTTTTGAAAGAAAATTTACCTAGTATATATAAAATAAATATTGATATGGTGCTGAAAATAATGACGATACTACCGTAAAATTTGTGGATAGAAGATTTCAAAATTATTATTATTATTCTTTTGAGTAATTTGAGTACAAAAATTTTCAAAATTATTATTATTATTCTTTTAAGTAATTTGAGCACAAAAGTTTCAAAAATATTATTATTTTTTAGTTATTAAGAAAATAAATTTTGTAGACATAAATTCCACGCTTTATGTAGATTTATTGAACGGAGACTAAGACAATTTTGAAAAAAAAAAATTGCCTATTTTCAAAATCATCCTCTTGTTTTTCGAAACAATGCATTTGTAATTTGACTTTATTATTGTAAAATTTGAAACTTGTGGAAAAAAATTAAAGAGATGAATTTCATTTGATTTGAAATTCTTAAACCATTTTGAATTTCGTGCAGATTGAAACCAAAAAAATAAATTCATTATGATTTTTGTAATTTCCAATAGGTTTGTTAATTTTAAAGCAGCACAAAAATCCTTCATTTAAGGATATGGATAGAAGCATTTAAGGATATGGATAGAAGCATGTGATTAGATATTTTTGAAATTCAATTTGAACAAAATCCTTTATATTAGGAAGAGATTTTGAATTAAATCTAATTTTATGGCAACTAAAATGAGAAGGGATTTTGAATTTCAAAATTTCAATTCAAGTTCTAAGGAAAATTTTTCGGCAATCAGATTGTTTGGAATAAAATACACAATCGAATTTTTTAAAATCGAATTTATAGGTAACTTGTAAATTTTTCTCGTCTATTTAAAAATATATGTGAATAATAAGTATATTTATAAATCATATAATGTTTCATTAATTAGATGGTTTTGTTTTTATATGAAATATTCAAATCAAAAAATTGAAGTGGTTGAGTAATTTATTAAACTATGAATAATTGACTATTTCATTTACGTCGTCAAAGTTAATGTTGACTCGTAAGTTATGAATAATTACTTATTTGACTTATGAATTTGGAACTCAAATTTGGACTACACACTAAATTCCCTATATATTTGATATATGAATATATTATATATATAATCTCGTAATTTTCTAAAGTTGTTGTCGGTTACTTTATCGTTCAAATTTATCAACTAATTTACTAGAATTAAATTTCAAATTTTTTAACTTATTGACCAATATTTTTTCAAATCTTATGATAGCATATCAATAAAAATAAAAATAAATTAAGCAGAAACAAAATAATTGATTGAAAATTTTTGAAAATTTTAATCAATAGATTTAGATCAATTATTGATTTCACATTAACTTTAATAAAAAATTACGTATGCATATAAATTATTCGCACTAAATATTTACTAATAACTACCAAA